CTCCCAAAGTGCTGAGATTGCAGGCATGAGCCACCATGCCCGGCCAACTAGCAGTCTTTTTACATAATTTTTTGCTGGTAGAATTTTCACATGGCATTATGACAGCAGCACTTTCTTCGTGTAGGTATTTAAGATTGTGTGCTGAAAAATTAATAGCATAAACATACTTTAAATTAGAGAGAGATGACTAAGGGGAGTCAAGAAAGGGACGCAGAGCCTTGTGCAGGCCTTCCTTTCCCTGGGGACAAAGAGAAGCCAGGGCCAGGCCTCCTGGGCCGTTGCAGGCTGGCATGTCTGCCTTGCACCCCACCTGGCCCCAAATTCCCCTTGTGGGACCTCAGGAGGGGCCCCGTTTCCACTCTGCTGCCTGATGTTCTGGATCCTGAGCCCACACCCAGGCCCAGGCAGGGCTGAGTCTCCTCTCCCTGCAGCCTCCGAGGCCAGCAGGCCCCAGGCTTCAACTCTGTCCTCCACTGGACGACCCTCTGGTCAGGTCCCTGAACATACCCGTGGGAAAAGATATGCACCCATGTGCACGTGTCCACATATGTGAAGACAGGTGTGCGCATGTGCACAAGTGTGCAGGGTGCACCCATGTAAGAACCCTACAGACCTTTTTCCCAGGAGAAGGCTATATCCCCCCCATGGTGTCAGGTGTCCACTCAAGCCCCCCAAGGGTGAGGTGGGGAGACAGGGGAGAAGTGGTTGGGATTCTGGGCAGAACTGCCGTCTCAGATGGGTCCTGAGGCTGTGCACGTCGGCCAAGGTCTGGCCACAGTGGTTCCTGGGAAGTGTGGGGAGGGGGCTATTCAGACCCACCCGCTTACCTCTTCATTCTCCTGGAAGACAGTCACAGGAGCCTGTTTGCCACCAAAAGTTCCACACACCCCTCTCCCCCAGCCTCTCACTCCTTATCAGGTCCCTTCCCTGGGCATAGGCCTGAGTGTGCAGCCTGGGTAGCTGCTAGCCCCACAGATGGGACCTGTCTGCACCGTGGGGAGCTCCCTGTGGCCAACTCCAGCTTTGTCAGACCTGGCGAGGGTGGGTGGCAGGCAGCACCCGGTCCCTTGGTCCAGGTTAGCTCTCCTGGGCTGGCTGCCCCTGCTCCCCAACACCCCCCCCCCTCAGCAGGCTAGCTCTGGACATAGTGGTTGGCTGAGTCTGAGCCAGACCCTGACTTGGCAGCTCCCTCTCCTGCCTGCGAAGGCGACTTCACTTTGACTTCAGATCTGCAGAGTGATGTGCAGATCACACATTCAGCCCTGAGCCCCACCAGGACACAGCAGGGACAGGAGCAGCTGCGGGGGCTCCCTAGGCTCAGGTTCCTAGGCCCCCAAGGCCCCATGGGCTTCCCTTCCTCCATCCTTTCTGTGCCTAGATGCAGGCCAGACCTCAAGAGGCAGCTGGGGGATGGGGAGAGAACAGAAGACTTTTCCCACAGAGGCCCAGAGCACACATCCAACCTCAGCCCACAACCCCCCCATTGCAGGCCCACTGGCTTCTCCTTGTGAGATGAGTATGTTCATGGCCATCATTTCTTTGGGGGAAATTAAGAGTCTTTGGGGCTCCAGTTCCTCTCTGCTGCTCGCTCTCCTCTGCTGCCCGTCCCACATCCTAAGAGTGCCCCTGTGTAGAGAGGGGGAAGGGCGCCCACCCTTACAGCTCCCCCCATGAGGCTGAAAGTTGACCAGTTCTTCCATAGACCCGATGTAGACAGCTTCCTTGAATACACGGAGAAATTAATCCTGCTAGTCTTAAAAAGAAAGTTACATTTTTTTCATTTGAGTTCCCTGAAACTTACCAGCCCAGGGCCTGACAATGAGAAGCCAGCCCCTCAGCCCCTGTGATTGCCTAAGGCACCACCTGCTGCCTGGTGACCAACTCCCTCTTCCACACGCCTTCCCAATTCCTGTGTTTCCACACATGGTTACATTTCTTCTGACTATCCCTGCAGGACCCCCAACCTATTCTGACTACCCCACCCCCAGCCTATCCACTAACCCGGATGTTGAGAAAGGCTCTCTTGGCCCGCTTCCCTGCCCAACTCTTTCTGTCCTTCTGCCTCTGCCCTGCCCCCCCCCCACCCTTTCTACAGAGGCCCAGTGCCTCTGAAAAATCGCGGGGGTAGGGGGTGGTGCGCTCTGCCAGGGGAACCTGGGGAGGCGAGGCGGTTCTCTAAGGCCCCTTGGTCGCACCCCCAGCCATTCCCGACCTTGCATTCCCGCGCGGCTTCCCTGCCCTCTCTGAGCAGCCGAAACAGGCAAATGCACGAACTGCACACTGGCACACCAGATGAAACGAGCGGCTGTGCCTGCAGAGGCGCTGGGACCCAGGCTACTGGTGGCCTTTCCAGCATCAGGTTCCATCTTACCCGGGCCCTGCACCCTACTCCTGCTGGCACCCCGATTCTATGAAGGCGCTGCCTGCCATCACCCTGCACCTACCCACGGTCTGGTCCTAACCGCACCCTGCCCCGCCAGCACCCTGCTCCCACCCACACTGCTGTAACCCACACCCGACCCTGCCAGCACCACATCCTACCCGCGCCCCGCAATCACCCTGCCCCTACCGCACTCCGTCCCACCCTCCCACGCCCCTCCAGCACCCCGATCCTACCTGCACCCCGCGCCTACCCACGTTTCTCCCTACCAGTACCCCACCCTGCGCACTCAGCAAGCATCCCGCTCCACCCGCACCCCGCTTCTATCTGTGCCCTGCGCCACCAGCACCCTACTCCTACCCACACTCTGCTCCTTCCTGGGCCTGGTCCAGCTGTCACCCAGCTCCTACCCGCACCCTGCTCCTACCTGCATCCAGCCCCACCGCACCTAGCTCCTTGCATGGGCCTTTCTCCTACCTGCTGCCCTGCCCGGCAGGACCACATCCTACCCGCGCCCCACGCTGCCAGCACCCATCCTGCAGCACCCCATCCTACCCACGCTAGCTCCACCACAACCCCAGTCTTACCCACACTCCACTCCTACCCATGCCCTGCCCCGCCAGCACCCTGCTTCTACTTGCACTCTTCTCCTTCCAGCGCCCTGCCCTGCCAGCACCCCACCCTACACATGCCTGGCCCAGCAATCACCCTACTCCTACCTGAACCCCACTCCTACTCACACCCCGTTCCTACCCACGACCCACCACTCCAGTGCCAGCCCCTACCTGAAGCCCGCTCCTACCCATACCCTGCCCACACCCCATACCACCCACGCCTCACCCTGCCAGCATCCCAATATTACCCACACCCAGATCCTACCCACACCCTGCTCCTGTGCCCCACCCCACCAGCACCCCACTCCTAGGAGCACCCTGCTCTGACTCGCCCCCCACACCTACCCCTGCTCCTGCCCCACCAGGACACCACTCCTACTGGAGCCCATTGACACTGCACCCTGATCCTGCTTGCACCGTGATACTACCCCTTCCCAGCTTTGTTCGCTTGAGGTCTTCAGACTCTTAACATTTAGACAACCACACAATCCATTAGATCCATTCACTTTTTTTTTTTTTTTTTTTTTGGAGGCAGTCTCGCTCTGTCTCTCAGGCTGGAGTGCAGTGGCGCAATCTCGCCTCACTGCAAGCTCCGCCCCCGGGTTTATGCCATTCTCCTGCCTCAGCCTCCCGAGTAGCTGGGACTACAGGCGCCCGCCACCAGGCCCGGCTAATTTTTTGTATTTTTAGTGAAGACAGGGATTCACCGTGTTAGCCAGGATGGTCTCAATCTCCTGACCTCGTGATCCGCCTGCCTCCGCCTCTCAAAGTCCTGGGATTACAGGCGTGAACCACTGCACCTGGCCCATTTAAAATGTTTATTGATAAACTAAGTTATTTATGACATGAAAGTCACACACATGTTGCAGGAAACTGAGGACCGGAGAGACTGATAGGAGTGTACAGGAGGATTGTTTATTTTAGGTACCTGTTGGCTCAGTGGATTCATACCCAAAAAGCTGAGCGTTAAAGTCAGAGTGGTGTTTTTGTAAGTGGACTTACAATCAATAAAACAAAAGCAGCTAATCATATGACAGGTCGCATAATCTATAGCATAGCGTAACTTGTGGCCTTGCATAGCCGGTGGCCTTGTAGCTGCATTGAAAGAAAAACAAGAACTGGCTAAATACAGACATTTGTAAAACATAATCATGCTTAAGAAGCCTGGGTAAACAGTAAAAGTAAAATAATATGTCTTTTTCTTTTTTTTCCTTCGCCCTTGTCCTGGAAGGGGGCGGTGTCTGGAGCCCATTCCTTTGGCCTTGGCTTCTAAAGCAGCCTTATCTTGTAACTGTCCTTAAGTGAGCTGCTAAGCAGAGGAAAACTTGTTCTTTTCTTTTTAACCCTTGCCTGTTACTTTTCTGGGAGTGAATAAACGCATGCTTATTTTTAAATTTCTGCCTCATGCAAACAAAATATGCTGGAATTTAATTTGAAATTAAATACAGAGGTCTAGGAAATAAGTCACCAAATTCTCAAAAACACATTCATTAGAGTAACATGTAATTTTTTTTTTTTTTTTTTTTTTTTTTTTGAGACGGAGTCTCGCTCTGTCGCCCAGGCTGGAGTGCAGTGGCCAGATCTCAGCTCACTGCAAGCTCCGCCTCCCAGGTTCACGCCATTCTCCTGCCTCAGCCTCCCAAGTAGCTGGGACTACAGGTGCCCGCCACCTTGCCCGGCTAGTTTTTTGTACTTTTTAGTAGAGACGGGGTTTCACCATACTAACCAGGATGGTCTCGATCTCCTGACCTCGTGATCTGCCCGTCTCGGCCTCCCAAAGTGCTGGGATTACAGGCTTGAGCCACCGCGCCCGGCCAGTAACATGTAATTTTTAAAAGTAGTTTTAAACAAAACGTAGTTTTAGACAAATCAAGACAGTTTCATTTATGGCACATAAAATTCCATAATCTCGTGCATAACACTTTACAATGAGAACTTTTATTAACCAGGACACATTATTTTCTATGTTCATTCTATTGACACATAGATTTATGTTTCCCTCCTAGACTTCCTTGCAAAAATGCCTGTTTCGGATTCCTCACAGTACAGATAAGAAGGAAGGCTTGATCAGCACGTGGTGGATCTGAAGATTCAGAGGTGCCATGGCTCAAAAGTAGACATTTTGGTAAATGTGAAGAAGTGAGATTCAATGAGGGTGGTAAGAAATGAAAGGTGTTACCAAAAGTGGGTGTGTGTAGCCATGCTTGTCACACAAAGTAGGCTTTAAGTCAAAAAAGCACAAAAATAGAAAATAAAGGTCATTATAAAATGATAAAGGGATCAATTCAGCAAGAAGGTAGAACAGTTGTCAATGTAAACACACCTGACGCAGGAGCCCCAGTTATTACAGTAAGAGTTATTCGAGCAACAGAGACAGACAATAACAGCTGGAGACCCCAACACCCACTTTTAGCAACAGACACACCCTCTCAGCAGAAAAGCAACAAAGACCAGACTTACACTCCAACAGAAGTCGAAGGGACCTGACAGATAATTACAGCACATTTCACCCAGCAACTGCAGAACCTGCGTTCCTCTCATCAGCTCACAAAACATTCTCCAGGATAGGCCACATTTTAGGCCACAGAACAAATCTCAAAAAAGCATTTAAAAAATGAAAATCATAGCAAGAATCTTCTAAACCCAAAATGGCATAAAACTAAAACCCAGTAACAAGAGAAACGTTGGAAACTCTCCAGGTACATGGTATATAAATAACGGTAATGGTCACTGAAAAAATCAAAAAGGAAAGTAAAACATTTCTTGGAGAAAAAAAGGAAATAAGAAAAAGAAATACATATAGTAGGTGTTTTTGACATAAAAAATGCAGAATAAAAAAATTCCAAGATACAATAAAAGAAACAAAAATTGATTGAAATGTCTCCTTTCACTGGTAACAAAATAACTGGCAAGGAAAGGTGATGTCCCTTTTTTTTTTTTTTTGACGGAATCTTACTTTGCCACCCAAGCAATTCTACCACCTCAGCCTCCTGAGTAGCTAGGATTACAGTCATGTGCCACCACGCCCAGCTAATTTTCTGTATTTTTAGTAGAGATGGGGTTTCACCATGTTGGCCAGGCTGGTCTCAAACTCCTGACCTCAGGTGACCCACCCACCTCAGTCTCCCAAAGTGCTGGGATTATAGGTCTGAGCCACCACGCCCAGCTGATTAGACAGGCTTTTAAAACCACAGCAGAAGCAGCAGGAATGTCTGTAACCCATGGCCGAACAGTATTAAACTCCTGGTTGTTTTGCGTGGAGTCACCACAACTACAGCTCAGCTAACACAGTGCTGAGGGGACCTACTGGAGTTGACAAGATCCCCTGGGGGCACAAGTGGCAATGGCTGTGCATCAGTGGCTGGATATTTCTGAAAAATGAAACAAAATTAAACTAGTAGTCATCCAAGATGATGTAGAATTAATGTACTGAAAAGCATTGATGATCATGGTCCGGCTCAACAGGAAAGCTGCAGGAATCATGCACACGTTCAATGCCCATGCAGCCACTGACATCACTGGCTTCGGGGTCACCGGTACAGAATGTGACCAAGGAGCAGAGGGGCTCTCTTTTTAAAGGTGCTTTCATAGGCAGGCACGGTGGCTCATGCCTGTAATCCCAGCACTTTCGGAGCCTTAGGCCGGGTGGCTCATGTGAGGTCAGGAGTTCGAGACCAGCCTGGTCAAAAACTCCATTTCTACTAAGTAAAGTAGAGTATAAGTAGTGTATAAGCCCCAGGTCCTAGGCTCTGGGTATAAGCACCCGGTCCTAGGCACTGGGTATAAGACTTCGTCCTAGGTTCACCCCAGGACCCCCTAGCACAGGTCCAGTGGCTTCTCGTTATTAGAGGTGAATGTGATCCTGGGCATCATTTCTTTGGGGGAAAACTGGATTCTTTGGGGCTCCAGTTCCTCTATGTTGCTGGCTCTCCTAGGCTGCCAGTACCACATCCCGCATTCTCTTGTGTACGGGGGGGAAGGGCACCCCAGGCACCCCCTTCACACTTCCCCCATGAGGCTGAAAGTGGCCAAATTCTCCCATAGAAGTTTGCTGCGTCCTTGAATAAACATAGAAATTGATCATCCCAGCCTAAAGAAAGTTACATTTGTCTCAATGGAGTTGTTTTCTTGGGAAATGTCCCAGAGAACAGTAGGGAGCTGAAACTTACCAGCTCGGGGCCTGACAGTGAGAGCCTGCCCCTCACCCCTCCCGCACCCCTCCCGAGTGCCTCAGCCACCTGGTGTCTGTTGACCAACGCCTCTGCCTCCCTCCTCCCTAACTCTTGTTTTCCCACAACTGGTGACATTTCTTCCCGGCCAGGCCTCCGGGACCCCCACCCTCCGCACTGCTCTGGATGCTGACAAAGGCTCTCCTGCCTGATCCCTGCCCAGCTCCTCCCTCCCTCCCGCCTTTGGCCATGCAGAGGCCGAGCTCCACCGTGCCTCTGCCTCTCAGAAATAGCTGGGGGTGTGCTGCGGGGGAGCCTGGAGCATGGGTAGGGGAAGGGGTTTTGGGGAGAGGGCGTTGTTCTCAGAGTCCTCTGTGTGGCAAACCCCAGGAGTACCAGATCTTGCATACCCACCTGGCTTCCCTGCCCGCTGTGCAGTAGAAAGGGCGCACCTGGTTAAAGGAGCGGCTGTGCCCGCAGAGATGCACGGACCCAGCTACTGGTGGCCTTTCCAGCACCCGCCCGTCTTCCACCTGTCTGGCTACCGCGCCATGCTCCTGCCCCTGCCCAGTGGCGCCTGGCTCCCGTCCGCGTCCTGACCCCATTCTGCACCTGCGCGCCCCGCTCCTACCTAAGGCAGACCGGCGCCCGCTCCTACCCGCCGCTTTGCGCTGCCCCTTCCGGCTCCTTCGGAGCAGCCGGCACCCGCCTGGCCCAACAGTGATCAGAGTAGGGCACGCAGCCGCTGAATGCTCTGGAGTCCCTGCCCGGAGGTGCCACGCCCGCATCGGCCACACCCGGGCTGGCATGGGGCTGCGGGACTTAACGCCGCACCCCACCTACCAGAGCCACGGTCTCTACAGCCGCGGCCCCAGCGCGCACTGGGGATAGCAAAGACGACATCCGGTGCTGCCGCGGCTGCTCGGCAAGTCAGTCTTGCTGGTTACAGGCGCCCGCACGGGCCAGCGCAAAAGTGGCCCGGAGTGCCAAGCGACGGAGCCAAGGCTTTGAGCACCACCTTTCCGCTTGCGCTGGGCAGGGGGCTGCATGTGACCGGCCACCTGGCCTTGGCTGGGAGCGCACTGGTGGCGGGCAGCAGGCAGGTCTCTGGCAGGAGCAGGTGCCCGTCGGCAGCGGGGCCAGTGCTCAGAACCTAGCGCGGTGGGAGTTCCCAGCGTGGTTGTCCCGAGCGCCAAAGCCGGTATCCTGAAGGAACCAGGACAGCTCTTTCAGGGCAGGTGTGGGCGAAGGGGCAGGGAGGGAGCCCAGGAAGCCGCGACAGGCACCGGGGTCTGTTTTTGCAGGAGGTGGCACAGTCCTGGTTTTTTTTAAAAATTATTTCTTTATGCTTTAAGTTCTGGGGCACATGTGCAGAATGTGCGGGTCCGTTAATAGGTATACATGTGCCATGGTGGTTTGCTGCACCCATCAACCCGTCATCAACATTAGGTATTTCTAATGCGATCCCTCCCCCCGGCCCCAACAGGGCCCAGTGTGTGTTCCCCTCCCTGTGTCCATGTATTCTCATTGTTCAACTCCCACTTATGAGAACACGCGGTGTTTGGTTTTCTGTTCCTGTTTGCTGAGAATGTTTTCCAGCTTCATCCATGTCCCTCCAAAGGACACAAACTCATATGGCTGCATAGTATTCTATGGTGTATATGTGCCACATTTTCTTTATCCAGTCTATCATTGATGGGGATTTGGGTTGGTGCCAAGTCTTTGCTATTGTGAACAGTGTGGCAATAAACATACATGTGCATGTGTCTTTATAGTAGAATGATAATCTTTTGGGTATATACCCAGTAATGGGATTGCTAGGTCATATGGTATTTTCTAGTTCTAGATCCTTGATGTGGAGAAATAGGAACGCTCTTACACTGTTGATAGGAGTGTAAATTAGTTCAACCATTGTGGAAGACAAGTGTGGCGATTCCTAGTTTCCTTTTTGACCTCTACCTTCCTCATTCCTCCTCCAGCTCTGCCGCTTTGGTTGGCAGAGGAGTGCAGGGGCTCTCTTTGGCAAGGTTGCTTTGCTCTCCTGCATTTTTGCCACCCTGGTCTTTAAAAACCTAAAAGCCTGTTGTTTCTGGGGTGGCTCCCTTGGAGGGGTGCAGTGGGCTGAGACCCAGCCTGTAGCCTGGGAGTTCTGTGCCACTGTCTGGCAGGGCACCTGAAGATGTAGCGTTGGGGCCATGGGAGGCTCAGGGCCAACACTTATGGGTGCAAGTTTTGGGCCTGGGTATCAGGAGCCAGCGGGCTGCACTGAGAACTAGGTGCAGGGTGTGGCACAGAGTTGAGTGTCAGGGGCAGAGTTGCTGCAGTGCAGAGGACAGAGGTGGTGCCGGGGGGGGGGGGGGGGGTCCTGGGCATCAAACAGCAGGGGTGACAGAGCAGGAGAACCATCATTTCAAACACTGCCACTTTAAGTTCCAGCTCCCTTTCTAGCCCCATGCATTTCAAGGAAATCACTTCACTTCTAACTACAAGCAGCAGCCAGAAAGAGCAAGACAGTGAAACACAGATAAGACAGCTAGGGCACAGAGGGAGGTGGCGGTAAAGTCTCTCAAGTAACTGCCAAACTTCACCCTCATAACAATGGGCCCCAGTAAACCAGTGGGCCTTAAGCACAGTCCTTTCCCTTCAGGTGCACTAAAATATCGGGAAGCTACAAGCGGACTCAGGGGAAGACGGAAGTATGCCTGCAGCTACAGCAAGATGTATGAGCACACACACAACTGTCCCGCCAGATAAACACAGCAAAGACACACACAGGCAGTGCAGCCTCTGATAAACTTTCCCAACCTGAATCCTTAAAAACTTAGCCTGTAAGGGAGTGCGGGTTCTGACCTAACTTTGTCATTAGTCCCTCCCAGGTTTGAAATAAACCTGTACTTGTTGACTGTTGAGCCACCCTCCTTCTGAGATGGAGATGTTTATAACTTGGGAAACTGAGGCTCAGAGAGTCGACTAAGGGAAGGCAAGAAAAGGAGGCAGAGCCC